TTTTATACTTGAATCATTGCAAACATTATCTTATTTAGAGTTAAACATAGATGAATAGGTAAGGTTTTGTACTTGAATCATTGCAAACATTATCTTATTTTGAGTGTGCTTAAATTGAGGTGCTTCAGGCTTACATTTGGCCATCAAAATGAACGTATTCCAGAAATCAAACAAATCCATCATTTAAAACAGTGTTTTCTCACATTACTCATCCTTATTGTCTTCCTCCTCATTATCAAAACACATCCCTAAACATCAGCGATATTCAAAATATCTAATCATAGGTGTGGCATAGAGCAGTGACTTCTCAGAACCTGTTCCTTCACTTTTGCCAGGTGTGGCTCCTTTAGGTGCTAGATCATGGAGAAATCTGAGCATCTGAGGAAAGACACCAGGAGGGCATTTGGGGGAGGGAGAAGGCTCAGGACAGAAATTATTTATTTGTAACTGCTGATATATTTCTGTATCATTTGGTACTAAAGCATTTCAGTATTTTAACAGTTTATCACACAAATGACAACCTTGCCAAAAACTCATTTATATTAATAAGTGGAACTATAATCATGATGCTTAAAAATCTAGATGGTTCTAACCTAATGGCAGGGTTTAGAAATTATTCCAACTATTGGAAAGGAGTCTCAGGCTTGCCTGTTTGTCTTGAATATAAGCAAAAATATTTCTAGCCCTGCTAGTCACTGGGAAAACCTAGGACAAAAAAATGTTAATATTTTATGTCTCCTCAATACTTTACATAACTATACTCTGGTTTCTCTTCAGATCGCATAAATCTTTCGCCTTTTACAATACTTAACATAACCCTGTAGGAAGATGCACTACTTCGTTAGGGCTGCCATTAACAAAGTACCACTGACTGGGTGACTTAAACAACAGAAATTTATTTCCTTAAAATCCAAGGTCGGGGTGTCGGCAGGGTGGGTTTCATTCTGAGGCCTCTCTCCCTGGCTGGTAGATGGACCCTTTACCTATTTCTTCACATGGTCTTCCCTTTGTGTGTGTTGGTGTGTATCTGTGTTCTAATCTCCTCTTCCTGTAAATACACCCATCATATTGGCTTAGGCCTCACTCTAATGACCTCATTTACTCTCATCTCTTTAAAAATTCCATCTCCAAATACAGTCACCTTCTAAGATACTGGGAATTAGGACTTTAACATATAAATTTGGGGCAATACAATTCAGCCTATAATATGATCCCCCTTTTTCAAGTTTCTAAAAAATATTTTAAAGTCAATTTTGTTTAAATTATAGATTTTCTTTTGTGAATTTTCTCTTCAGATATTTTCCTTGTTTTTTTAGTGGATTGACTTCTTATTTTTAAATTTTTTTGGCTCCTTACATATTCTTGATAGAAGCCATTTGTCACGCACTTATAATGTAAATAAATTCTTCTATTCTTTGACTTGTATTTTCAGTTTATTAATGCTCATTTGAAGAGCAGAAATTTTTAGTTTTGATAAAGGTCAATTTATCATTTTGTCTTTTTGTGTCCTATCTAGGAAATCTTTACTGACTCTAAAAAAGATAAATCTTTTTTATTTCTGCAGGATTTCATTGGCTAGGACTGCCCCCTACCTTGACTCCTTCAAACAATGTTGAATAGAAGAGGTAAGAATGAATATACATACTTTGTTTCTAATATAGATATGGATTTAATGTTTAGGTTTATAATACATGTTGAGTTATTTTGGGGTGTAGTGTGAGGTAAGTGCTGAGCTTAATTTTTTTACTTGAGGATCCTATTGTATGAGAGCCATTTGTTGAAAAGTCTGTCTTTTTCCCATTTAATTACTAGGCCCCCTCATCAAAAGTCAATTGGCCATGTGTGTGTGTATAGGAGGAAAAGCACATATTTACTTATTTCTGGAATCTCTATTTTGTTTCATTGATTAAATTCTATTAAGTCACTGCCACACTGTCTTGATTACTGCAGCTTTATAGTAAGTCTGTAAATCTAGCAGCCTTCCAACTTTATGCTTTAAATAACCATGTTTTAGCTATTCTAAGTCCTTTGCATTTCCATGTAAACTTTAGAACCATCTTATCAATTTCTACAAAGAGGAAAATTGGATTTGTGTTGAAATTGTGATGAATCTACAAATAATTTAAGTATAAGCATCATCTTGATAGTATTGAATCTTTTAATCCATGATTTGGTGTTCTTTAATTTCTCTCAGAAGTTTGACAGTTTTAAGTGTAAAATGAGGGCACATATTTTACAAAACTTGTCCCTAAGTATTTTGTATTTGTGGACATTTTTCTAGGCAGTATTTTTTTTTCAATTTTCATCTATTTTTGTTACCAGTAAAAGATAGCTAATTTTGTATACTGATCTTGTATCCTGCAACTACAACACATTCACTAATTAATTCCAGCAGCTTTTTTATAGATTTCATAGCATTTATTCATGATCTTTTCATCTTTCTTTTTGACATATATGTCTTTTTATTTTTGAATGATTTCACTGGTTTGGAACCCCCCCCCCCCCTTGAATAAAATAGGTAAGAATGAATAGGCTTATTTTGTTTATAATTTTAGGGGAAAGCATTCAGTTTCTTTTTTATTACCATTTATGTAAGAATTTAGCTGTAGGTTTTTCATAACTGTGCTTCTTTATCAGATTGTGAAAGTTCCCTTTTATCCAGGTTTTGTGTTTTTTGGGCTTTTTTTTTTGCTTTTACTTAGTTTGATGAGAGATTTTATGATAAATGAATATTAAATTTTGTCAAGTGCTTTTTCTACATCTATTGAGATAAGCATATGATTTTATCCTTTATTCTGTTAATATGCTGAATTGCAGTGATTTATTTTCAAATATTAGACAACTTTGAATTCCTGGGATAAATCTCACTTATTATTTTTTCAATTTACTGGATTTAATTTGCTAATATTTAGTTAATAGTTTTGATGTTTATGTTCATGAGGGCTCTTAGCCTCTGTGTGTGTGTGTGTGTGTGTGTGTGTGTGTGTGTGTGTGTGTGTGTGTGTGTAGTTAATCACAATGTTGGATATCTTCAAAGTCTAGAGGCTAAAATCGCTCAAAATACAAGTTTTAAAGGACCTATCCAGTTTCCTTTTTAGAATCCCATAAAATCTGAATGAACAGAGAAAATCAGGCAAAGCTAGTATGTTCATTGTTGAAGGTTTGACTATGTCCTAAGCTGATCCTCACAAACTTAAAAATGGCAGGTAGACAGGAAATAAAACACAGATTTGTCACCCATATGTAAGGGAATATTTCAGTGCAGCAAGGGGAATTTAGAAGTCTTTCTCTGCTGGTTAATCATAGCCAGTGTGTCAGCCAACAACATCCACTTATTCTCAGATGACAACAGTGCCAGTTAATTGCTCTTGTTTATACTTTAACTATTGATAGACTTAAATTATATTCATGTTGTCATGCAGAACAACACATAGAAAGTCTTGCCTTTGATCTAAATACAGGCTTTCCTGTGTTGCAATGACATTTGAAATGTATATCAGAATAAAAAGCTTATAATAAGTCAGGTATAGAAAGTAGATCATCTAAATCAAATAATTTAAAAAACACCTGATTAATGATAATTTTGGCTTGGAAACAAAATACTCTATTTCTACAGAAGTCTAAGTAGGCTTATAAAGATGTAGACATTGCCTTTGAGATTGATGCTACAAAATGCCATGAATATCTCTGTAAATTCCTCAATCCTCTTATCACTTTGACCTTTTTAAATATTCAGTACTATAATTGTTAGTTTAATGCATATTCTTTGTGTACAGTTCTTGACCAGGAATGAATTTCATTCTTTCATGACCATTACAAAGCTTTGCCTCTTTCTGATTCTTCTAAACTCTCTTCTAACAATGCTCATGATAGGTAGAGAAAATTGTTTTTCTAGAAGCCAGAATAACATATCACTTGTAGTAATTTATTATTTATTTATTTATTTATTTATTTCCTTTTTGTCTTTTTTACTGACCGGTAACGGGATCACAACCCTCGGTGTTGCACGCGCACCGCGCTCAGCCAGTGAGCGGGAACCGGTCTCCACATGGGATCCGAACCCTCGGCGGGAGCACCGCCGCGCTCCCAAGTGGTGCACTCTCTAGTGCGCCACCGGGCCGGCCCCACTTGTAGTAATTTAAACTGCAGAAACGTTTGTTTCTTTGCAATATGTAGCAAAGTTTTTTTTTTTTTTTTT